TCCCAAGCCTTGGGCTTGGGAGGCCTATTTACAACTGGACCGCTATTGGGCCGAATACAGAGCCACTGGTGGGCTATATGAATGAATAAGTGTAAAATCCGGTTCTGTGAGACTTCCGTGGCCGACGAGGGTCTTGGCCGACGAGGGCACGGCCGACGAGGGCACGACCGACGAGGACACCCTGGTTCCTTGGCTTCAGGATCATATTCTGAGTTGGTCCTTCTTCGGCCGACGAGGGTCTTCTGGCCGACGAGGGCACCACGTAGTGGCTGTGCTTTCTGTTCTTCTGAGTATGTGGGTCCTGGGGCCTAGACCCATATACTCCATCAAAACTTAAATTGTACTTCTTAGTAGTAGTAGCTCTAATCACCCTCCACATTTATCCGGATGTGGAAAAACCGACACCTCGGATTACTCCCGAGATGCTCACTTCTTATGAAAATGTAAATTTTATCTTCAATTAAATAATACTTCAAAAATACTTCTCAATTTCTCTAAAAAGTCTCGAAGGTATTTAAAAATATTTAATACCCCAAAAGTACTTAATTTATATTTCTCAACTACCATATATATAATCTCCTCAAAATCACATACACAAAATTCACAATTCACACTTAATCACATAATGCATAATAAGCATATAATACGAGGAAACAATTTTGGATTGGCAGGGAAACTTACCTCAAAGTCACGCCTTTGCTCTAACTCTACTCGAAATCTAGTTCACGTCTTCAACGAATTCGCCAATCTCCCCTTTAATATTATCAATGTGCGAAAATTAATAACTACTCTATTATTAATTTATTTTATTACTCTTTAACTCACAATCCGGACTTAATTTAATTAAGTCCGTTAATGAGCTTAGGTATATAGTAATATACTTAATTATTAATTTAAATACCTCTTATTCGAAATAGTTAGTACTAATTGACTATAAAATTCAACTATATAATTTAAGTCTTTAATAAAATCTTCTAATTAATTTAGTTATACTTCTACTACTATTTAATTTTCGGTTATACATATTCTAAAATAGCCTGCTAAAACTTAATTAATTAAAGTAACTGATTAATTCTAATTTCAAATCGGTAACTAATTTATTTATCTTAGTCGAATTTAGTTTACAAATTTCATTAAATGTAATAAAAATCCATTATTTAATTATTATCGCTAATTAGTCCAATTCATTAATTAATTCCGAAAATCTAATCTTTAATTACGAAATTAACTAACTTAATTTTATCAATAGATCAGACTTTAATCATTTTTAAATATACTCATTTATTTAATCACTTTAACTCATTCACCAAATTTAGTTAAGTATATTTATTAATTTAATTAATTATTCGAGTTAATCGCATTTTATTAATCAAATTACCTTATTAGTTCAGCCATTAATTACAATATTTGAATAACATATCCAAATATAATTAACTACAACATCCGAATTATATTTAAATAAACTATTCATATTTCCTAATTATATTAATCAATAGGAATATTATATAATTTTAAAATTAACTAATTGTCATTAACTTAATCTGATTTTATTAATTACTCAAACGCTTCGTTATTACGTTAACTTATTAATCTACCTCAATAATCGAATAATTAGTGAAAGTAATATCTATCCAAATTTATTTAATCTACTCATGTTACTAAGTCCAATTAAATAATTATTATCTAATACCATATTCGTTTATTAGTTATTATTAATTAAACCATCAATTCCTTTTATCATTTATTAATGTGTAATTATGCCAAATAAAAAAATTAACAAATTTATCCAAGTGATTACTATCAATTAATCAAGTCAAATTCATCATTAATACTTCTCATCCCTAATATATTCATTTTGCAGATTATTAATATTATTATCAATATTATTATTATTATTATTATTATTATTATTATTATACAGCAGCCAAGGTTTTAATAATTCGGTCCAGCCCAGACACTTTTAATCTACCGGCCCAACTAAACATATTCAGCCCAAGAAAAAAAAAAGACTTCGTCTTCCTCACGCTGTTCGCCGGAAACGAAGGGTGTGCAGGGGGAGAAAGGTGTTTACCTCACCGGACGTGTGAACAGCGGCGGTAAAATCCTTCTGGGACGGCGAAGATCGGTGGTGGGTCGGCGGCAGCGGCAGCTCCTCCTTCTTCTCCATTTTCCGTCGTTACGGTTAGTCCGGCGAAACTCCGGCAAGCTATATCTCTCTCGTTTCACGACCGTTTTGAACGATTCTTTCACCGTTGGATTCCTCTCTCGAAGGGGAAGATTTTTAGAGAGTTTTCACAGCTCGGTTTTGGCTAAAACGAAGGGTCGGAAATTTTGTGTGTGTGTGCATATATACAGTTATGTATATATATGTATATATTATATATATACTGCGTTTAACGTTTGCGGCTCTGTGAATGAAAAAGAACGCAAGTCTCAGGCTGCTATCTATAGGTGTAGGTCTAGATTGCGTTAGAGTTTATCCGATTGGTATAAAAGCTCAAGTTTCGCAAGGTTTAACCAATGTGAAGAAGCTTATGTTTATGTAGGACTCTCTTTTTTTTTGTACGTGGACTTTCTGTGGTCTAGGTTCATGCAGCAGATGAGAGTATTATGATTTCGCAGCATCCGTATGTTTACTACGTTTTTATCTGTTTAGTTAATACTCCGTAGTTATCTATTCGTTTGTTTGGATATTATGTGCAGGCCATTTTACATTATTATTTTTAAAGAGTTAGCCTACTTATATACTACCTCCGTAAGTGTATTCTTACGCTAACAAGTAATATACTCCTTACTTAGGAGTATTACGTATTAGGAGGAGTATACGGGGTATATATTACTCCGTTATATATTACTTAGGTGTTAGTTTAGGTGTATATTACACTCATTTGTACTTTGTAAATTATACAACTTAAAATAATTGTACCATTTTTATCAGACTAAAATGTCACAAATGTTAATTTTCTGTCTGGTTCACTTGTTTATTAAAATGTGGTTTCTACTACTGGAATATTTTTATCTCATTAAAACGTCATAAATTTATAATTTTTATCTGATTCGAATGTCACATATGTTGAATTTTTGTTTGACTCTCTTAATATTTAAAACGTCATTTCGGTACCATTTTATCTGACTAGTAAAAATTATTTTTATTTTTATTTAAATTTTTGAAGTGTCACAAGTTGTTACTGAGGAAGTTATTGATTCTTGACTATGACTACGCCAACATGGCGCTTGAAGAAGGCTGAAGCATAGAGTGTTGGGAAAATGTGTTGATTTTGAACTTATGATTTTTTTGAATATGTATTTTTTTTACAAACATTACATATTACAGTTGGGGAAATATGATACTGTTGTGGGGAAATGTATCGAATATTGTACAATGTTGAACAATTGGATTGGTTTTTTTGAACATGTGTAAGTTTTTGCAAACAATACATGTACAATTATCCACTTATGTATGTTGATCTTTTGTCTTTCTGGGATCCGCCATATTGTCTGTTTGTGTAAAGTTATTGTCTCTCCGCGTAAAAATAATGTATGTCTGGTTATGTCTATTTACCCAACACTCTATGCTTCAATTTAGAACTGCAGCGTCTGTCTAGCCAGACAAAATTTGTCTGTCCTCGACATTTGTAGTCTGGGTATGTATTACTTTTGTGTCTTACAGTCAGACAAAAGTTGTATGGGCCAGACATTAGTAGTTTGGGCCAAGTAACTACTTTGTGGAGTACAATCAGACAAAATTTGTTTGGCCCAGACATTTCTTGTCTGCCTCACATATGTTCTTTGTACCACACACGTGCTCTGAATAATAATATGAAAGAGTAAATATGTTTTTGACATCATTGCCACCTGATATGATATAAATACCAATTCACAATTAAAGATATGAAAGTAATAAACAAAAATGGGAACTTATCCACCTAAGATACAATAGACAAGCTAAAAAACAAGCTAAAAGTTGCATTACATATAGCAATAAAGGGAAAAAAGTTGTCTTGAACAATATGTCCCTCATTCTCCTGAAGCCACTTAGAACAAACGTTTCTGTAAGTGGACTCTTTTTCTAAAATTGGTGGGTGCTTCACTTCATAAAGAGGACTTTAGCTTTTTAAAACCTTCAGCCCATGCCAAAATTGAGTCCACTCACAAGTTATGTCATTTGACTTTTGAGTGTCTAAATTAAGCCCTTCAACTAGCAACTTTACTTCAATACAACATTCAAGTCTTAATCCCAAAAGAATTTGGGGTCAGCTAACATGAATCGATCTATGATATCGATGCCAAAAAGAGAAGGCGGACAAGAAAAGAAAAGAAAAGTAAGATAAAATGAATAAAATAAAGATACATAAATATAAGATAACAATAACACAAGAATATAACCAAGATAAAAGAAAAATAAGTAAAAGAACATAAAAAAGCTAGAAGATAAAAATAACATAAGAATATATGTTAGACAAACAATAAACGTGGAAATGAGGATTATATTCTAACTTACGCGCACACAGAGATTATAATCATTCAAATTAGGCTAACAAAGTCCTTCCCAATACCACTCTACGTATAAACACGCCTTTTTGTTAATCCCATTACAGTTAAAGGCTTAGAGCTCAGGTTAATGGCAAAGAAAAGGGACTATCCGTTACGTCACTATCAAATCCTTTTCGCCCCAATAACTGAATTTATCTGTCATTACTCAAACTCGTACGGAATAGTAGCCACTCATTAAAATAGTACTCCGGAGGACACTGTAATATCCTCCGTGTCATGCATTATTATCCTAAACACAACTACTTCGTCCCAATTTATTTTACAAACTCAACATTTTTTATTCAACCAATAATAAAAATCAACCATCAATATTGATAATTAATTCAATTTTTAATAATTAAAATTTACATATTCATAAGTTACATTGAAATATTTTCACAGTTGTAAACTCTAAATTAGTACATAATTAAAAATTGACATCCAAATTAAGGGAAGTGTTTGATCAAGAAAAGTAAAATTTGTAGTATATCAGCTCCCTGCTCCATCCTCACCGCTCACTCCTCTCTCCTTCACTCCTCTCCACCGCCTGTGGTGCCGCCTTCGCCAAGATCACCACCGTCTCCCTCTCCCTAAGCCTAAGCTGAAGAAGCAGCACGCCGCCGCCAACTCCGCTTCAGCAAAAATCGATGGTGAAGAGGAAATCCGGTGAGATTAACAACGGTGAGCGGTTAGCGGCTCTGGCCAGACCAAAAATCGGTACCCTTTTTGTTTTTATGCTTTCCCTTTTCTCCCATTTCCCATTCCACTGCGAATTTTTCTGTTTTAGAAACAACTAGTCTCCAGCGCATATGTAGATCACATTCTGTAGTCTACATATTGCATGTGTGGAGGAGTAATTTGCTTGGTTAAGTATATGCCTTGAAAACTTATTGTGTATGCGAATATCTTTTCTGTGAAATGCTTTCAGTCTTCCTTTGTACGTAGGGCTCAGAAAACATTTTTGAGAAAATATTTTCCTGGGCCTTGATTCCTTAGGCTATGTTTTAATCCTGAAAAATGCAAGGAAAGGAAAGAAAATGCTATGGTACATTGTTTTTATTTAACTCTCAAAATGCAGAGGACAATGATGTATGACAAGTGCTCTATACTTTTGTAACATATGGTACATTGTTTAATATGTTTATAAAATGACGTGTATTAGTGTGTATGTGCTGAACTATGGAATGTGTCTGTGTTTCAGAGAATAACCCAATCAGTGACTATCTAATGTCAAAGATTACATGGAGGATCGATAACTTCTCACGTTTGGATGTTCAGAAGCCTTACTCTTCAGTGTATGAATTAAATGAGTACAAGTGGTATGCCTCTAATTAGAGATAAGTGGGAAAGATTAAATAGTAGTAGTATATATTCAGCTCCCAATTTTTATTCTTACTCCGTAGTATTTTTGGATTCTGCAGGAGGTTGCTGCTTTATCCAAAGGGAAACGACACAGCTCATTTGTCTCTGTACCTAGGTGTGCCTGACCTGCTTAGCTTACCCGATGGTTGGCGTATACCTACAAAGTTTAGTCTAGCCCTTATTAACCAGTTAGACCCAAAGAAAACCATTAAGAAAGGTATATGATTATGTCGAATGAGTAGTTGTGACAAATGATTGTTATAATTCTGTTTCTATACTCTAGTTATTGTTTTCTTTGCATCCTTGTGCAGAAACCAAACATGCTTTCAATGCTCACGAGAGTGACTGGGGCTTCACTTCATTCATCCCACTCCGCGAATTTCATAACATATCTGAAGGTTATCTTCTTAATGATACATGCCTGATCGAAGCTGAAGTATATGTCCCTGATGCTTCTTTATGTCTGACGAACAATGCTACTTCTCCTGTTTCCCCATATCAAGTAAACTCAACTTAAACCCTACATGCTCTATGGTCAAGTATCATTAGCAATTATGGCAAATATGTGGCTAAAATAAAAGTAGTGGACAAGATTATGACTTTACTATAGTGGTATTTTGTCCCTGAGTGACTAGAGTGAGTGACTGTGGTCATATTTAGTTATACATTATAGTGACTGAGCTGGTATATGACTATTTTTGAGTAACAGCAGTGACCATGCACTTGTATTTTTTTCTATGAGTTGTAGTTACACATTTTTTCTAAATGTAACTGATTCTTCTATATTTCTTTCTGAGATTGATCAGGCTATTGATTCTTCTTCTGCTGTTGCTCTTGATCCTGTGGAATCTGTGTACTCTCGGGTTCAATCTGTTCTCAAGTCACTACCCAAGTCACCGTCCAACTTAGCCTCTGCTGCTATTCCATGTGAAGTTCCTTTGTTTAAAGACCGTGCAACTTCTGCAAAAGAAATCTTTGACAAGCTGATATTATACCCTTTGGAGGACTTAGCTGATCGAAAGCATGAACCTGCAATGTTGGAGTCACTCTCCATACTCACTAACAATCTTTCTTTGTTCAGCAATGAGCAGGCGGAAGAGATTTTGAGCTTGAATGTTTCTTTTCCTCAGATGATGCGGGAATGGAGGGACTTGAGTAAAGTCAAGGGGGGCAGTGAGCATCTCTGGGCTACTTTTGAGAACACGAAGCGTTTGCTGGAGGATTTAGTGAAAACGGATGAAGGGATAAAGAGTACACTGGAGGTGCTAGTTAGGAGAGAAAAGGAATTGAAAACTGAGCTGGAAGAAATTGAAAGCGATATGCGGCAACTGAAGGTGGAAAGAGGAGAAGTGTCGAAACAGACGAAGAAAGTGTGTGCTCTTGCTGAGGAGCAGGCTTGCATTATTGAAGGAAGAGAGGCTGAGGTGGATGGCGCTAACAAAAAGATGGATGGTTTGAAATCTAAATGGGATGCAATTAGACTTCGTCTAGTTACTAAGTAAGTTGTGGGCTCGTTTAGACCTAATTATGTGTATAACTCAGGTTTAAAATTTTACTTTATCTGCCCAAACAATAGCGAAAGCCAAGTGATACAAAATGGTCAGAGTATATGGTTTCAAAACTCAATTAGTCAATTGTAGGTATTGCTTATTAACCTTATTAAGAGATTAACCATTGGAAGTGAATCTGTCAAGAATGTTGTTCTTTCAATCAATTTAAGGTAGCGTATAGATTGTTTTTAGGTTCTTGTGCAGGCCAAATGCATGTGAAACTTCTTCAGCCATTAGTTAATAAGAAATTATATATGCACTGGCTGCTACAAGTCTACAACTATGAATAACAAATGATTAACATTTATATCTTTTACATATGTTTTCGCTGCTTAGTATTTGTAAATTATATATAAGTAAATAGTCTTGCTCCCATTTTTTTCAACATTTTATGCTCTTCTAATCCCTAATATCTTAATTGTGGATATTCGGCTTAGGTATCGAATCTGACCACAGTCCACACTACTTTCAATTCCCTAAATTTTCTCCAATTTATTACCTATTTTACCTCTTATTCTCCAAAGCCTACCAAAGTTAATCACAGTCGACCGGTTCTGAGCCGGGCTCTGGGCTGGTCCAAACCGGGCTTTTTTCTTGGGGGTTAAGGCCGGAACCGGCCCGGGATTCTACCGGGACCGGGTTGGGTCAAGTACTTTTTTTTTTGCTTTTCTAATTAATTCCTACCCCCACCCCTCCAAAACACCCAGCTCAACCCGCCTACCACCCAAACACTTTGAAAAAGAAAAAAAATGGCTCGGACCGGGCCCAGTACCGAGCAACCGGGCCGGGTCAGGCCCGCCAGCCCAACCCGCCTACCACCCAAACACTTTGAAAAAGAAAAAAATGGCTCGGACCGGGCCCAGTACCGAGCAACCGGGCCGGGTCAGGCCTGCACAGTGGTGGGCCGGGCCGGGCAGACCGGAACCGGTCCATGCCTACCGTCGACCATAAACTTCTTGGTGTTGGCTACCTGTTGGAGGTATTGGTCCTACCAAGGCCTTCCGTCCACTTATTCGTGTTAAGGCCTGCACCCTAAATTTAGCCCTACTATTTTTCCCTCTTAGGTCTTGTTCATTACCTATTTTCACATGGCATGTCTTGATTAGTAAGGCATCTTTTCTTTTGTTATAAGAGTCGACTCTTCCTCCTTAGAAATGAGAGTAGCGTACAGACAACCTCTTCCCTTCTTCCATGTGCGTGACGTGTGAGTGAGAGTGAGGCAGTTTGGCCGGAGTGTTCTTCCTCCTTGACCGATAGTTTCCTCTTTGTGAGTGAGAGTTTTGGGAGAGGTAGGAGAACACACCCAACACTACCCTTAAGAACGTGCATGAACCTACTAACTATTTTTCTAGACCATTTCAACCTATTATCTCTAAGCCTAACATTGGTTCCAGACTTTAGTCATTCGTGTTACTTTGGTGCATAAATTAACTCAGTGTTGTCTTATGGATTTTGGAAACTGTTCTAATTGTCAAATTAAAGTCACACAATACAATATCAAGATATTATACAACCACTAAACTAACTTTTTTGAGATGTCTTTCTTTCAATGGTGTTCTTTTTTATAAGATGGAATGTTGATTTGGGATCCTTATAAGCGTGAATTTTATTATGAAGACCACATAACTTTTGGGATCCTTAAAATTTTGATGCCCTATTTTATAAAACCTGTTGCCGCCACAAAATAATATATAGTAATAAAAGTAAGTTGTTAATTAAAAAAAAAACTTATTGAATGACTAAGAATACTGGCCATGCTACATTATAGGAAGAAATGAATTTTGATGGAGTATATGGGTCTAGGCCCCATGACCCACATACTCAGAAGAACAGAAGATACCACGATCACCTGGTGGGGCTCCCGTCGGCCGGATGACCTCCATCGGCCAGAAAAAAGTCTACTCGGAATATAATCCAGAAGCCAGGAGAATCGGGTGACCTCGTCGGTCGGGTCTTCATCGGTCATGCCCTCATCGGCCATAGATAGCCTCTAGAACAAGATTTTATACTCAGTCATTTCCGTACACTTTGTATTCGGCCCATTAGAGGCCCTGTTGTAAACGGGCCTCCCAATCCCAAGGCTTGGGAGCCCAGCCCGTATTTTCCCTATAAATACTTCCTCTGGGAGTAGTTGTAGGGGTTGACAAATCATTTATTGCAAAGAGTTATTACACTTCTCTCTCTAGCTCTCACTTCTCTCTAGATATATAATCTATCATTTGGTGCTCTCGTTGAGAGCTAGAACAATCAAGTTAGCCTCCTTCGTCGCTACCAAGCACAACTAACTGATAATGGGAAGAACTAAGTCTAACCGCAACCTCCTCGGCAAGGCCATCCCTGAAGCCCATGAGAACAGGCAACACGAGGAGGACGCTACGGCCGACAAGGCTCCCGTCGAGGATGTCTAGCTTCCAGGAAGCCATCGGCCTCACCACTGACCTGCGCAACAAGCTTAACGGCGGCGCCCCAGATGCCCACATCAGCTTGGACAAGAAGCGCACAAAAAAGGGCGACAACGTCTCCGGGCAACCGGCCTCTCATGTCGTTGACCCCCAGCTCCAGGCCGCACTCTCGGCCATCATCGCCAGCCTAGCCCAGAACCCGACCGTCCTTAGTGCACTCATGCCAAGGACGGGGGAGAACACGACGCCGCCTCCTCAACCCCAGCCATTGGCCGTTAGGCTAGGCAACGATGAAGGGGTGGTGCCCCAGGACACGACGTCGTCCCACTCCCACCCTGCCTCCCCGCTTCGAGCTGAACCGACCCCAGCGCGTGGAAAAGCCTCAGCCTTTAACAAGCTAGGTGACACGTGTCGTCGGTCTGCTTCGGAGAGGATGGCGGGGCGGATTGGTCAGCGTGAGCCTGGCTCACCCAGGGAAAGCTTGGGGTTAGTATCCCGGACAGCGGATCGGCCCCGCCTGGACAAAGGCAAGGGGAAACTGCATGAGGGTGATGCCCGTCACCAAATCAACACGGCTCATGCAGCCCGCTTGCAGACGCAGGGCGCCACCATGACGGCCAAGGACCCCAGGGACGAGGTAATCGCCCAACTCGAGCGAAGGCTCGCTCAGATGGAGGCCAAACAGCTGGCCGCCACGCCCACGGGCAACTCGTCCAGGGATCCCGGCTTCAACGCCCTTCTAAACAAGGTCACCATCCTTGAGAGGGAGTTGGCCGAAGGACGAGGAGACCCCATCATCCAAGTCAGGATGCGGACTCCCTTCACCGCCATGGTACTCTCGGCCCCTATCCCCGAGAAGTACCGGGGAAACGCCATCTAGCCCTATGACGGCCGCTCCGACCCCCAGGAGCACTTCAGCCGCTACCAGAACAATATGATGATGGTGAACATGTCAGATGAATACCTCTGCCATTGGTTCCTTTCTACTCTTGAAGGGCCAGGTCAGCGTACGAGTGGTTCAACGCGCTCCCCGGAGGGAGCATAGACTCATGGCAAGACCTTGCCCAGCGCTTCCTCACTCACTTTGCCGGAAGAAAGCGCGCGAAGAAGTATTTCACCCATCTTCTCTCCGTCAAACAGCAGCATGACGAGTCACTCTGGTCATTCATCGACCGATGGACGAGGGAGATTGATGAGGTCGAGGGGGCCGATGAGCGCACCCTCCTTGTCCTTTTTCAGGGCGCCCTCCGCAGCACCTCATATGCGAGGAGCCTCATCACTGACCCACCGAGGTCCTATTTGAAGGCGCTTCAGCGAGGAAACTTGTACGCTGATGCCGATGAGCTCCATAGCCACAAGAAGGATGGAGGGCACCCCTCCAAGAAGACAAACGCCGCATCAGCTCCAGGCGCACCCTCGGCCGGTGACTGAGGTCAGGGAGGACAAGGCCGCCATGGATCCAGCGGAAAAAACAAGGACTGCATATGGCGGCCGAGGATGGAAAGGCCGAAGACCCCACTCACTCATTCAGTCAGCTCCATCCTCGATTATGCCGAGGAGCAGGATCTTATTGAAAGAGATCCTCGGTCAGCCAAGGAGATTTACGCTGTCCATCAGGGCGGCACCTATTGCCGTTACCACTAGAACACCTCCCACAACACAGACGACTGCGTCACGCTGAAGCAAGCCATCGAAAAGCTGATTCGCCTGGGGAAACTCTCCCAGTTTGTTAAAGGTGGCCCACGCAAGAATACGTGGGTAAACACCGGCAAGCCTAGGGGCGAACCCTCTGCGAAGAAGCGAGAGATCGGCAGACTCAGCGATGACGAGAAAGACTTTGAAAAGCCCCATCCGAAGAGGAACCACATCAACCTCATCGTGGAGGGTAATACGGGGGGGGGGGGGGGGACTCAGCCACCCAGAGGAAGAAATGAGCCCAATCCCTTTACATTGGGGAGGTGTCCCACGCCCCCCCCCAACCGAAGAAGCAGCGGACGGAGGCGATCACCTTCACTGACAAGGATCTGCCTCCGGGACCCACGTCACACAGATACACCCTCGTCATTCGGTGTGAGATAGGTGACTCTATCATCCACCACACCTACATCGATACAGGGAGCTCCGTCAACGTCATGTACCTTGACACCTTCAGGTAACTAAAGCTGGACAAAGCACTGCTCAAGCCGATACGGACACCATTGTCTGGCTTCACCGGGGACTCTATCGACGCCGAAGGCACGATAGTCCTCCCCATGGAGGTCGGCGACGGCTCCCATCGCACCAAGATTGACATGGAGTTCATGGTGGTCAACCTCGAGTGTGCCCACAACTTAATATGGGGACAGCCAGCACTAGAGGATCTGGAGTCCATCGTCTCCATGAAACGCCTGTGCCTGAAGTTCCCTACCAGTGGCGGTATCGGCTACGCCCGGGGGAACCAGAAGATAGCCCGAGCGTGCTACCTGAAGCTTACAAAGCCAGCAGCTAGCGTCGGGCAGAGAATAGACACCATCACCGCCACCATCACCAAAGACGAAGAGAGGCCACACGCCGAGCCAGCCAAAGAGGTCGAGGAGGTCCCCCTGGATGCCTCCCCGCCGGAGCGGGTCCTAAAAATCAGGAAATAAGTCCCACAGGATCAACGCAATGGCATCCTCGACGTCATGCGGTCAGATGCAGTCATTTTTGCGTGGGGGCGGACGATATGCCTGACATCAGCCGAAAGGTGATCACTCACCGGCTGTCAGTCGCCGCCGACGTTCAGAATGTGCGTTGATTACACTGACTTGAACAAGGTGTGCCCTATGGACCCGTTCCCTCTCCCTAACATTGATCAATTGGTGGACGAGACGGCGAGGTGCGAGCTGATGTCGTTCCTTGATGCCTTCAGGGGGTACCACCAGATATTCATGCATGAAGATGACAACGAG